ACGGGAATCTTTTCGGGCTGCGGAGAGTTGCAGACGCCTTTTGTTACTTTGGTTATCATCGCCTCGTTGAGACCCCGCCTTTTATCCTTTGGGGCACAGTGATGCATTAGACCTTTGCGAACAACGTAGTGAACTATCTACACCACATTGAGGCTGTGTTGCAGTCTACGTCTGCCGTTTGACCATGCCGGGCGTCATTTCGCAACGCGGTGGTCACGATGGCGAGAGGCCTCTTGATGCTTGCCTGGATTCTCGCCGGAGCCGTTCTCAGTCTTTACCGCAAGGGTAGCGTGGCTTCCTGGGAGAGTTTCAATGGGAGATGTGGCATTCTCGTCACAACTTAGGATTGGTACAGTAGAGGGTCTGGAGACTGGGCTATGAGCCGGGGATGATGCCGTCAGCAATGTGCGCAACGCTGACACAGTGATGCGGATGCTCTCGCAGAATGTTAGAGCAAAATCCGTCCTTCTTGACACATCATGGCTTCAGATTTGAATCACCAACGCACTCTTCATGGCGACAATTAGTCTTGACAGAAAGGCTCCTCTCGAGCTCTGGCATTTGGGCGGGATGATATAGTACAATATACAGCTTTGCTACAAATCTCTCTCTCAACATCTAAATTTCCCCTCCCCCTCTTCGTCTTCGTACAAAACCTGCTCCCCACACCTCAACCCCCTTTTACATATTCTGCTTGACAGGCTTAGCAGTCAAGTTGGCACGCGTCGCCGTACCCAACTTGTGCAGCGCCAACCGCTTCTCCCACACGGACGACCGCCCCTCGGTCACGGCAATCAGCTCGTCCGCCACGCGGTGCGCAAACTGCGTCCGGCCGGACCCCTTGGACGGCTTCTTGTTGACCACGTCCAGGATCCACTGGAACGCCGCGCGCCGCCTCTGGCGGACCGCTAGGGGTGCGGGAAGTTCCAGGGGTCGACCACCACCGGCTCCGCCCGCGATGCGGCGGATCTTGATGAGGGGCGCCACGGAGTCCACGGCCAGTGTGAGGTATAGCACGGGGTTCAGCGGGAGGTGCGCCGGCGGCGGGGCGCCGGGAAGGAGCGGGTATTTGGGGTTGATGATCGGGGGAGGGGAGGTTCGCAGGAAGTTGAGGACCATGGCCATATTCTACGTAGGCGCACGCAATGTCAGCATAATTCTCTTCGCAATTGCCTCGACACACAAGATCTTGTCATATGTTTCCAGAGTTGGGATTGGCGTACTCTTTGCGCCTGGGCCTTCTTGCCATCTCGCATCATCAGGTTGGTCAACTGGTCTAGCACGGGGTGGTACCGAGACTTGAGATGGCTATGGGGCGGCAGAGGGAGCGTAGGCAGCGGGAACTTGTAGGACCGTGACGGGGCGACCTCGTCGGCGTCCCCAGCCTGCGCGAGAAGCCCGCCGCGAGCTATGATTTCGAGATCGCGCTGGCCGTTGCCGTCCGATTGTGTAGGCGGGATGGCGCCCTCGGCGTATAGCATCTGCTCCTGGGCTTCCGTCAGGCCGCCCTGGAGACCGGCGCTGTGTCCCTTTGCCGCCTCTGCGAGCTCGCTCAGTGCCGCGGCAGCTTCAAGTGCCTCGTTTGTTGGCTGCAAGATTGGATCGTCAGCAATTCCTTATTCTCCCCGCCTCGTTCGTCCACGTAGTCTTCCTCCTCCAGGTATCAAAAATTCCATACCTGCTGTTGTCCCGGCGCGGACTCAGGCACCTCCTGACCCTGAGGGAAAGCTGCGTTCTCTGTCTTCTTCAATACCGGAATCTGGCTCCTTTCACCCTTGCGCAGCTCGTCAGAGTATCCTCGTTTTGTCGCCGCCCAGACTAGAGGTTCCTGTCGTTGGGCCAGGGGTCGAGACCGCAGCGCGAGCGCCCGGCAGGCGGTCTGTAGGCTCGGCCGCAGAGACATGGCTGCTCTGAATGTGTTCAAATTACCGAGGTCGTCTCGTATACTTCCGATTGAGGTGCGTCGAGTCGTCGGGACGTCGTAGTTGTTGGAAAAGGTACCCTGAATTCGACGGGCGATTTTCGACCCAGCGCGGCCAATCCACGAAAATTATTGAGTCGCGCGGATGTTGCCGCTCCACTTTCGCAACGTCGACTGCTTACCCACACCTTTGCAGTTCAAGCTGGGCCCGAGCTTCAGAGTCGAGTGGGCCTCCCACCGGAGAAGGGTAGCTCCGCTCTCCGAAAGTAGTGCTGGAAGCTTAGGTAAGGCAGGTACGTCCCCTCTACAGGCTACATCCCAGCTTAAAGCCGGTCGGGGCCGTGCCGCCCACCGAGACGAACCTCACATCATCTTACCTAAGCTAATCTCAACCCACCTCCCGCTCTCGCTCACCGAATATGCAGACCTTCTTCACCAGTACCACCACACCTCTTCATCAGATTCGCTGTGTGATACTCAACATCTTCCTCTGTAAGCCAACGGGCATTTTTCTTCTCATATGCCAGGCACGGCAAGCAGCGCCAGTCACGAGACTCTCCCTCGAAGCGGCTTACAGCTCCTTCAGGATGATCAGCGAGGTCTCTCTTGCGGCCGCCAAACCAACAACAAAATCCAAACATTTTTCCCCTCCCCCATCTCAAATCCCACCTGAAGCCGCAGCAAGTGTCTTGGAAAAGAGAAATCCCTAATTCACTCACCCCATCCCTTGGCCGATGCCCACGGCGTCCACGTCTTGTCGACATCCCGCACTTTCACCATGTGGGTTCTTTCATGTCTCAGTGACACAGAAAATCCCGCCCCCAAACTTTTTTTTTTTTTGCCCATCATGAAGGGACCAAAGTTCCATGGTTCTCAACCACCCACTCAGTCCTTTTGCCAATGCCCCAATGTGCCATTTGCCAGATTCGCCCCCATGGCGGGATGGGGGAACTTGAGGGGACCTACCTATCCAAGTCACAAACGCCACCCACATGTCGAAGCCGCGAATTTCCTCGACAAACAGAATACCTAAAAAGAGCGAGAGAAACATACCACTCACACACACCTACACACACCTTGACACCTAAACCCCATCTCCGAACACCTGCCTTTACCCCTCGCTGCATGTAGACCGAATAGGTTGGGAACAAATCACAATCGCCCCGAAAAAACAAGAGGATGCGTGATTCAAACTGCCTTGCCTGCCACACGCCACACGCTGCATAGACCACCACCGCCGCCGTCACTCACTCCCCCCTCCGTGCAGATTTCCTGCAGTACGGCATTTAGCGGCTCTTTTCACTTTCTCTGCCCGTCGCGCGACATCTGTCTGCCCTCCTCTCACCCCATCCCGCGGATGCGCAAAACGGGGGGGGGGGGGAGTTGTTATCTCTATCTTTTCGTGGATTAGGTAGGCATTCGTATCTTTCACACGGGGGGGGGGGGGGGGGGGGGGGGGGGGGGAGAAAAAAGGGTTTGCACATTTTTTTTTTTTCCTTTAAAACCCCCCCCAGCAAAAAACCCCCGCGGCGGGCTGCCGCACCCCCCCCCCCCTTAATAAAGAGCGCGCTGCTGGTGTCCCCCTCTGGGCTTTCTCCCCCCCTTTTTCTCTTCAAGTGTGCCACCCGCAAAAAACCACAACTTTTGTCATTCCATTGACAAGCTCCCTAGCGCAAAGCACCAGCTGGCAGCTGGCTCAGCTCCCCCACCGTTCATGAAAGCTAGGCTGGCTAGGTTCCCCCTTCGAGATTCTCTCTCCTACTTTACCTTACATAGGCCAACCGCGGACAAACACAACCTAGGTTGACAAGACAGCTCTGCGTTGGCGTGGGATCTGCCGCAGTCCCGTTGCTAGCAGACTCCCTAGCTCATCTTTGTCCAGGGGGGGCGAGGGCGGAGAGGGGAGGGAGGGGAGCAGCCAGCACGCCCACCGTCCGCCGACACCGCAACGACCTCCTGCATTGGTGATAGCAGAACTAGTAAACCCAAGATACCTATGTCATCGTGGGGGAGAGTAGACACAGAGAGAGATTGAGGTGGACAAACGATGTCCGTTCGCCCTCCCCGTGCCAATCGACACCCCCTTCCAGCGCCCGTCGTCTTGAAGAGTAATCAGCTTTGCCATCATGAAGCCACCAATGTCTTTTTTTTCGTTTGTTTGTTCTTGCGTGAGCTAGAATCCCCATGTCATCACCGCAGGCTATAACAACGGAGAATTAATCTCGTCGCACGTGGATTGAATGCAGAGTGGTGTGGGAAGAAGTGGATACGCCCTCGTCAGGAAAAAGGAAGTCTCGTCATGTTGGTCCTCATCTCTTTTGGAAACTTTGCAAGAGGAACCAGCTCCGTTCAACGGAAATCCCTTTTCTACCTAGCTATGCCACAGCAGCATCCCTTGCGCTGGTGGTTGCTTTTCCCATCATTAACGCCGCTCCGTAAAGAAAAACAAAATAAACTGCAAAAAAAAATGTCCAAGATTGCAACCCAATTACCAACCTGGGCCCGGCTTCGCAACGCCGCCCAAAACAACAAGGAATTAAATGAGAAAGAGACTCTCGTGACCCCGTCAACTGTTCTGCCGGTACTGTTTCGCCAAGGTTCTGTCTCGTGTTGGAATTTCTTCTCTCAGCTCCAGTCCCTGTTCCACACGTGTGAGGAGTACAGAGAGAAGCGAGACACGCCGCCGCGTGCCCCTCCCACCGCCCCCTTGTGGATTGATGTGGTGAGAAACAAATGTTTCTTTTGCGCCATTTCTCCTCAACCAACTCAGCACCATCTTCCTTTTCGGAGCCTCCCAATGGACCGTAGGTAGAAATGTAGCCGTACGCCGATGTTCCGTGATGTCCCCTTGTGCCGTGTGGCATTTGGCCAATGTCTCCCAATCTCAACTCCAGGTGTGTATTCGTACAGTTGAACATCCGAAACAAAAGCCCAGGAAAGTAAGAGCAAGAAAAGTGCGTTGAAAGATAAAAGAGACAAAAAAGTGTGACGCTAGACGCTGATGCTCGAATGGATGTTTTCGCTGCAAGTTGCGGGTATCTTTGCACGTCTGTAACCGTCTTTCGTTTCGTTGTCTTCTTTAGTAGCTGCCTCTGCTGTTGGCTGGCGAGCTGGGATTCGAACCGGTAAGGTAGTTGAGAGCCATTTCGGCGGCGTCTTCTTTCGCGTTATTGAGGTTCTTGCCGTCGTACCAGAATCGTGCGGAGAGGGTACGGCCGTGGACAGTTACTCGACTGGACCAAGCGGTGCGGCCGCCTAATTGGAGAACGATCAATCAGTAAGGGGAACAGGCCGGCTAGGGTGATTGCTGGCAAGGTAGCTTACCACGGCGGTCAGAAACGATCTGGAAGACGGGTGGCATTATGTTGGCTTCGCGGCAAGCGTCTGTAGGACAATTGGTCAGCATCGTTGTCCATAACGGCCGACATCTTCATAGCGGATCCCTACCTTCAAGTCGCTCTTGCCAGGTGCCTGCTTGACTGCTGTATGACGAAGCAGACATGGTGGCAGTCGACGTGTATGACTTGCTGGAGTACATGCAGTGCAATTGTTTGGCCGAAGCAACAAAGAGTAGGTTTATAGAGGTATACTGGCCGAGGGGGTTGTCGAAGCAATAGTTGTTGAAGATTGCAGTAGATGATCAATGCTGTAGTAGTCGGTTTGGGATCGTGGATATCTCTCAAGACAAACGATTATGGAGTAGCGAAACTTTGTGGTTCTTATACTCGGGATCAGGTCGGCCGTGAAACAAATGGGTATAATCCCATTGGAGTAGAAAAGATTGTGATGTGGCAGGACGAGATTAGCTAGAAGCTGTTTCTGAAGGCAATGAAATGTTTGCACAACGAATGCAGACGGGTAAGGGATCAATTGGGCTGGTACCCTACGGCATGCTGCATCTTGGGATGGGGAGAGGTGGGAGGAGAGAAAAGGAAGGGAAGATGGAGAGAAAAGGGACATGATCCAAAGAAGTAACGACACAACATCACGTCCCAATTCCGTTTGGGTTTGGTACGGCAGGACCGCGTCGGTTTCCTGTGTCCTTTCTTTTTCTTCATGCCCTGGTACTTGTCTCTGACGAGCAGCAGGAGGAGTAGGAGCGGCGGCGGCGGCGGCGAGGAGGAGAAGAGGGGTGTGCCACTTGGGTGTGAGTGCTTCTGCTTCGTCTGATGCCAGACCACAGACCAGAGACCAGACCGGACGTGGGGAGTGTGGTACTGGCCGCAGAACGTCGTGATAAACTTGGATCTCCTAGCGTCATCTTTTTGGGTTATTATTTCCCTTTTTTTTTTTTCTCACACTCTCTCAAGAGTTTTTTTTTTTCTTGCTTTCTTTTTTTCTCACACACCCCTGGACACACACACACACACACACACATATGCTAGTCGTTGAACCCCCCGCGTGGTCAACCGGTACATGGGTGCCGACAATCATGGGTTTATGAACAGGCAGCTGGGAAATATGGGCTTGCGGGACTTGAGACAAGATGGCATAGCTCCACGGCTTGTAGGTAAGGTAAATACACGCTACTTGTGAAGGGAGACCGGGAAATGGCCGCAGCTTCGAGCGAACAGTTGATTGGGACGTGGCTTGCCAGGCTCCCTTACCCGGCGTCCGGCGGGGTCCAAGGCCACACAGAGCTGGCGTGGAGTGCCGACCCGTCGGGGTGGAAGAGGGAAATGATTGGGAGCTTCAAAGCCGCAGAGGCAAGGGCTTGTACAAGGCCAGCCGGGGGGTAGGGTGAAGGGGGTGGACGATCGAGCAGACGGATGAGTACTCCGTACCTAGGCCGACAGGAGAGCAAAGGGGTGAAAGATGGAGGTGCAAACGGTGGGAAAAGGCAGGGTAAGAGCTGACCAGGGGCATGACTGGAATCTCCAGCCGAGAAAGGGAGAGGAAACGAAGGTTACGGAAAGCGGATGCATACAGCCTGGATGTATCCACGAAAGTGAGCTGCGTGTATCCGTATCCAGGTCATGTACCAAGATGAGTGCCTGACGTGCTACACAGTACATGGGAAGAGATTGAGAGGAGGTTTCGTGCAGATGTTTAATCCGCGGGCGGGAGAGCGAGCAACGAACGGACGAATGAACGCCCCCAAATACGTGAAGAGCCTATTTGAAGATTGCGAGAATGGGAGTGAGAGTAAGAACAGAGCGGCGAGGCTGGAGGGTTAGAGAGAGGGCTACGATGGCACCACGTCCCATGTAGTTAACGCTTCAGCCGACCCGAGCTAGATCGCAACCAGGGCTGGGCTGGGCTGGCTGGCTGGCACTTGTTGATCTGTACATGAACCATGAGACATAAGTCATAAGAGAGAGTGGAGGGAAAAGCGATATGTACGGATAGGTAAATGAGAGCAGGGGGCAAGGGTTCAACAATAATAGCATTGACATCAGCCAACAAGCCGACGATTGGGCAATCAAGCTAGGGCAAAAGTATGAAAAAGAGCGTGGCAGAGCAAAGCAGTGAGGTAAGGTAAGGTACCTTGGAAGTTAGCCTGAGCACCCGAGCACTAGGCAATCCGCAGTGGCATCCGGGACCAGCTCTGGAGACTGGGCAAGCGACGCCAGGACCCTCTCCGGCGGCATCGACTCCGCCAGCCGGTGAAGCGAAACGAACCGGGGGGTGGGAAATACCAAGTTGCTAAGCAGCCCCGATGGTTGGGCAAGAGGAACAGTCTCGCCTCCATACACTGCGATGAAAGGAGACTCGGTCAGCGTCGTTTGGGCCTCATCGAGACCATCCTCACGGCGATGGACTGACGTTGAAGCATGTCGGTTTATTTTGGAAAGAGAAAAAGCAGGGGGAAGAAAAAAGGGCCGCCGAGCCACGTCGATTCAAATGCGCGATGCGGCAGGAAAAGGGCGGGGAGAGGCGAGTGATGTATGTACCACCGTACTGATGCAGTTAGCGGAGGGGGGAAAGGGGGTGGGATCGGGCAGCACTGGTTCCTCATCGTCATTTTGGGGTGGGGTGAGAAGAAGATCAGGGCAGGGCGAAGCAGGGCATTTCTGGCAGGGCGGGCCAGACCACCGATGATGATGATGATGATGATGATACCGATGCTGCTGGTGAGGACAATTATGAAATGTGAAAGACGACAGAGACGGAGACAGATTGGGTTTGGTGAAGAGTGTGAGAGAGTGTCGTGCAAGACATGGCATCTGCAAGACGAGCATGTGGTTGTGAGACCTACGTCCGTTGCTCCCCTGCTCGCCTCGACGCGCTTGTGCTGGGCTGTTTGTGAACGTGTAGCGTTAGCTTCGTGCCTTCGATATCGCAAATGAACATGAAAACAATGTCATGACATCTCGTGTGCCCAGCAAAGGCAAGCAAGGTGAGGTACGTGCGGCTGTTTGGCTAGTCCCAAGCTCTCAATGACTTCAGAGGCCTCATCAGTTCGGGTTTAGATCAGGTCCAGGGGACTTGCTGATAGTCGTGGCTGTATCCATACTTCTTAGCAAGGCACTCGAGTATCCAAGCTCTTCACAGTGAGTGACCTAGTACCGCTTAGAAGCTAGCAATGGTTAAGGACGGGCGGGATCGTCCAGAGTGACAGGCGACCGGCGGGTTTGAGCAACTGCAGCTCGAATGCAGCTAGAGCAGCACGTACAGCAGCTTGTAGAGGAACGGGCACCTCGCAGCTGGAGAACATGGGGTGGATCACCAGTCGTGGCGGTCCATGTTGGTCTGTGGAGGCATTGGCGGCCTTGGTGGCATCGGGGAATGGGAAGAGCCCCAGCCGAAGGGGTCCCTGGCGTCTTAGCCTGTGAGTCTAGGAACCGTCATGCTTCCCCGAAACGAAGGGAGCAGTAGGAAGGGGGGATATGGAACCGGGAAGCCGGGGAGCTGGGCTTGTTGACCTGCGTATATGCGTATGTACCTTATGATGTGTCGGGTTGGATATGTACAGTACTTGCATGGTCAAGGTGGTGGTGGTGATGGTGGATGATAATGAAAGACTAGGTGATGAGAGTGAGAATGAGCGTAAGAGGTGAGGATGAGAGTGAGGGTGAGGGTGAGAGGATGAGAAGGTCGCATGAGAATGACGGGGACGTGGAGACTGGACGGCTCTGAATGAGTGTGAGTCGAGCAAAATGAAAGGCTAAAGTGGAGCGAAACATTGTGACTTGAGAGTTACAACCCCTGGTTGTTTCCCGAGCTTACCTTTGCCATCTTGGTCCTTAGCACAGAGTTAGTAGTCCTTTCATAGTCACGACTCACAAACCTCTCCTCCAAGACTACTCCTCCTCCCCACCCGGGCAACTACTTCTACGGTCAGGTAATTACCAGAGGTACTCGGTACTCCATACGTTGGGGACATTCATCATAAGGCGCGGTCTCAGTGAGGAAATCGTTTGAATACTACATTACTTCGTACGGATGCGCAGCGACCCAGTTGGCTAGCAACACTAGCATCCGTACACAACAGAGCGAAGCTTTGCCGGCGGTTTTATTGTTTCGTTCTGTTTTAGTCTACGGGGCGATGCCGGTGTCCTTCCGTGGAGTTATTCTGCCCTCACCGTCTTTTATGTCTTTAAACTTTTCTTTTCACTTCAGACGGCAGTCGGAAGGGATGCTACTCTAACAAAGCATTTCAGCCTTTCCGCAAGACATTCAACAGGGTTGTCTTATCGAGACACACGCACTACACACTACACTGCAAGTAGCCCGTAATGCAATGCTCATGTTGTGTAATGTTACTCAGCATGTAGGTTAGGTCCTTTGACAGAATGAGGCCGTCATCAAAGAGAGAATGACGGGGCATCTGGTGCTCCATGCGCCCGTCAGGACACGAACGAACGACTTAGAGGAAAAGCACTGAGGCAGGAACAGCCAGGGAATATCTGCGCAGCCGAAAGACTAGGTTGGCCTCGGGCTTGCAGCGACTGTGCGCTGGGACTACATCCGTATCGGTATGGAGTAGCGTACGGAGTAGATGGAACCTTCACAGCAAGGGGCTGAAGGACAAAGAAAAGAGCGAGCAGCGAGCGTCATATCCATGGCATCTCGACTGCGTCGTGTACGAATAAACCTAGCAAGCCACGAACTTCAAGGTTCTCTCGGTGTGCGTGTGTCTCTCTGTCTTTCTCGTCTCCATCTTCTTGTTCTCCCGGGCATCAGGAGGAAGCGGCAGGCCACCATTGGCACCGGAAGACTTGGGGTCAACGTCGGGCAGGCGCCAGGGCAGGGTCCAGGGTTCCAGGTTCGTTCCTCTGGTTAAAAAAAAAAAAGTTTCTGGCCCTGTCCCGGTCGCAAGGCCCCCGTTGTTGAACTCAAAATCGACAAAAAAATCATTTTCTTCACACTTCACACCTCAGCTTTTGTCACCGCCTGATTCCGTATCCGTACACCTAAATGCGACCTCACATCCACCACCCGACCGTTCGCGCACTCGCTAGACGGGATCCGCAGACAGTAGACCCCCTTCGGACTTTGACTTTGTTCAACGTGTTTCCCTCCGTTTGTGCAACCCTCGATAGTTGACGAGGAAACATTTGAGCAAACATTCAACAGCGGACGAACATTCTATCG